GCTGCTGGCTCTGCATTCGCATGTGAAACGAGGCCGAGGCCGAGGCCGAGGCAGAGGCAGAGGCAGAGGCAGAGCCAGAGACTGAAACAGAGGCTGTGTGTGCACTCATACGTTTATTATGCAGCTCCATTTTTTGGTCCACCCTAACTAAATTGTGGATTTCCTTTTCTTGTCTTTTTTGTTGGTTTTTGGTCGAGGCAAAAGATTCGATTTGCTATGTGAATGCGTATGCATTTCACTGCTTCAACTGCTGCCACACACACTTGCACACACGCACACACACGAGGCACACACACACACATAATAAAAAGCTAATTGTGGTCAACCGAAAAGCCAGCAAAAAGCATTCACTGTGAAATCTCAACAATTTATTGCACTTCACTTGCCAATGAGCTATGTGTGTGTGTGTGCAGGTGGTTGTTTGTGTGTGTGTGAGTGTATGTTTGTAGCTTAAGTTGTTGCCAGTTGCTTGAGTCCTCTAGCTTGTGCCCTGTTGCCTCTGCCTCTGTCTTTGTCTCTGTCTCTGTCTCTGTCTCTATCTCTGTCTCTATCTCTGGCCACTGGGAAATGAATGTGAAAACTATTTAGCAAGCAGACAAACTGCTAATACTCCTTCACATGCGGAAGTGGGGCATATTGGTGTCATGCATGCTTAGCTGGCTATGTAATGATCGCTCTGCTCGAAGAAGGCAAGGATTTTAAGAGACTATGAGCTGTTCGTATCTCGGAAGATTGTTCCAGCATAAACATGGAGCTTGCAAATATTCCTGATAAGGAAAACAGTCGAGAGGACTCCCTTATATTGAGTGAAAATGTTTCTATAGGATCAGTCGACAGATAATATCAAGAGGCTATATGATACCCAGAACTACGCCAGTGCTTCAATGCCAATGATCAAATATCCACATATAGAAGATAGAAATGCACACATATACATATATGCATATACCATACATATATATGTATATAGTCAAGATATCCAACAGCTGAAACGTATATCAAACTGCTCTCGTGTCGAATGCACTGGGCATGTGTGTGTGTGTGTGTGTGTACTTATATGCCAGTTAGGCAGTTAGAGGGGGGCGGCAGTGTGGGCGTGCCTGTTGGGGCTATACAAGCTGACAAGTGGGCGTGGCTGTTATATATGAGAAGGTCGCATTAAATACTTATGAAGCGCATAAAAACAACGCGAAAATAGTTGAAGAGACGTGTTCGTGTGTGTGTGTGTATGGGTGTGTGTGTGTGTGTGCGTGTGCGTGTGCGTGTGCGTGGTTAACAAACTGTAATTTACATTAAGTGTTGACACGTTGACATACGCAAGCTACACACATTGCAATTGTCGTTGGCTTTAGCCGGGCTTTCATTTGTTCTGCCATTACGGTGCGTGTGTGTGTGTGTGTGTGTGTGTGTATGTGTGTGCTGTTCAGCCTGGCCGTAAAGGGCTATTATAACTTTGTCGTGCCAAAGCCAAAGCGAAACACGGACCTTAACTTCAGACAAAAGGGGAGAGCGAAGAGAGAAGGGCGAGGTGGAGGTGGAGCACAGGGGGAGTGTGGGGCCAGATGTGTGCCGCGGTCAAAGGGCAAGTGAGGGGGGCCGTGCAGCGGCACTGGATTGCGCCATAACAACATAAAAAGCTTACTAGCCGTGAGCCAAAGAGTTTTTCTTKCTTTCTTTGCTTCTCTTTTCACTTTTTTCAGCTTTAAACACAAATACGAGTTTTTTCTATGTGTACATATATTTGTAATTCATTTAATTATAAATGCGCCTGCTTTTTCGCTCTGTGTATGCGAGCTGCAGTTAGTTTGTAGGTTATGTCTGGCCAATGGACTTGACTTACTTAAACTGCGGCTGAAGTAAATCTGAAATAAGTTCAAAATACAACAAAAACATTTAATCCAGTTCGCATTCAAAGTGCAGGGGGCTGGTAAAGCTCTGTGGGTGCGCTTGAAGCAAGCGCATGCAAGTAGAACGTGAGGAGTTTAAGTAAGTTTTCAGGCAGATTTAAGACAGATTTATAAAGCATTTACCGAAAGAGTTTCTCAAGGCAAATAGTGAGCTGTAAAGGAGTTTGAGCCGAGCTTTTAAAGAGATACTAAACGTAACTAAAATGCAGCCTAAGAATGTTTTTAGTATATTCTACGCAGAGTTCCAGTAAGCCCTTAATGGGTTTTAAGAATAATAAATGAGCTCATAATGTGATTATCTTGAGCTCTATAGCTTTAAATGAGTTGAAGCGATACCGCAATGAAACGGATGCAACAAATTCAAGTGAGCTTTAAGAGGCACCAAATAATATTCGCTTAAGCTCAACTTTAAGCCATGTTTGTATAAAGCTTTCGACTGAGCTTTATCACATCGGCAATCAATAAATATTTATGATCAAAGCTTGATTGGCTTTCGAAAACTGTTTTGGTTTCTCTCAAGTTGAGGTGCGGCAGCAGTTGACAGTGGCGCAACGTTGCCACATTTCACATGCTGTCGCTGCCGCCAACGCCAACTGTACCCAGCTGTGCCGTTAGGCTGACAGAGAGGACTGCAGAGGGCGGCAAGAACAAGGCAGAGGCGGGGCAGGCAAATAAAACGTAATGTGGCACTTGGAGGGTCCACTAAGTGGCCATTGGGCACTGTCAAATGCAAATGTTGTTGTTGCTGTTGTTGTCGTTGTTATGGCTGTTGCCACTGTTGCCAAGTGGCAATTGAGGCAGGTGGCAAAGGGTTGACGCTGTTAAAAACGAGAGCCAAATACACGCGCGCATAAATGTATGAATAAATGAGCAGCAAGCCAATTGGCGACTAGGCACTTCTGCCCACCATCTGGCAGCATTGGCCACATTGCCCAATCGTTCATTAATTGGCCATTGACAACAGTTCCATGCAGTTGCTGCTTGGAATTCTGCAGTACCAAAATGAATTCATTTAAGCAAATTCATTTAAGTCAATGTCAAGCGACCTCGCCGATCTGGCAACGCTATGAAGTAAGCAAGACTTTTTTGTGTCTCATCTCGGACCTTCGCTAATTGATTTCAAATAACTTCGAACGGAGTGACACAGGCAACAGTCTGGCAACAGTCTGGCAACACTGTGCAGGCTGGCAACGCTGCCAAAGGAGCTCAACTCGTGAAGTTCGGCAAAGTTGGCTGAAGCTAAAGCATTCAAGTCTGAAGTTTCAGTTATTGTTATGAGCGGCTCGGCCGCCTCCTCAGCACCTGCTGCTGTTGACAGTGTTGACAAACGCTGCAAAGCGACAATATCAGTTATTGAAAGTTTGCATCATCTACTTCCCCCAATTTTTTTCGGCTCCGCCTCTGTTTGCTGTTGACAGCCCTTCGGTTGCAAAAACTTTCGGACAACGGCAGCTCAGGTGGGGCCAGGGGGGGAGGGGCAGTCGGTGGTAAGCCTCTTGTTTTGACCAAAAACTTTGGCTGCAATTTGTGTGAGCAGCGAGAGCTCTGCCTGGCTGCAACAGCAACAGAAACTGAAACCGATAGACGATGAATTAGCCATGCCTCAGATGAGCTAAAAGCACTTAAGACTAGCCGAAGTTTGGCAACAATGCAGTCTTAAAGGGAGCTTGCAATTACTTAACTTCCTTACGGCTTCTACTTGATGCTCTGTGTTGCTATATTTATCCCTTTCTTATTTTCGCTCTCTCTCTCTCTCTCGATTCTCTTCTCTCGCTATATATCGCTCTTTTTCTCCCTCACTCTTCTTTTATATCTCCTTCCCTCTCTCACACACACACAGTCTCTGTCTATTTCTATATCAATCTCTTTCTCACTCTCTCTCTCTCTCTGTCTCTCTCTCTCTGTCTCTTTCATTCCCCTCTCTATATATCACCCTTTTTCTCCCTGTGTCTTCCTTCATCTCCTCCTCTCTCTCTTTCTCTCAGTCGCTGTTGAGTGGCTGTTTTGCTTCAATTTCATTCAGACATGAAATTTGGCAACACCGCAACTCGAATAATAACAGAATACCTGAAAGACTGACAACAGATTCATTTTCGTCACAATCAGAAGCGCTGTTGCCGCACTTCGGGCAAGTTTGCTCTTGCTCTTGCCTTCAGCCTCAGCCGAGGTCCGCTGACTGCGCTGCAGCATGAAAAACACTTGACTGAAGTGTGGCAGCAATGCAGTGCTTGACGGCCAAAAGTCCGCGTCTCTTTCTGATCTGCGCTGTTGCCGCAGTTCACGAGAGTTTTTTGTGTTTTCCTTTACATTGACCAAGTGGAAAACAAAAGGGCGATGCGACTTTTTATCTGTTTATCTGCCGCACTTGAGTTTGTCAAAAGCAATTGTTTGACTTGGCTAGACAAACACGCGAGAGAGAGAGAGAGAGAGTGAGTGAGTGAAAGAGAGAGGAAGAGAGAGAGCTCGTCGGTTTAAAGGGCGAGTGTCAAACGCAACTGACCAAAGCGGGCAACAGGGAAACTAGATTGTGCAAAGGATCTTTGCTTGTTTTGTTTTCCCTTTTTTCTTTGGGAATCAGCAACAACAACAACAGCTGCAACATTTTAGGGGCATTTGCTTCACATCGCTGGCCACAAATAACCAAGCTGTGTTTATTTCTCGCAGCCTCGTGTCGAGGCAGACGCGTCAGCAACTGCTGCTGCTGCTGTTGCTGCTGCTGTTAGCCCTTCTCCTGCTGCTGTTGTTGTTGTTGCTGTTGCTGTTGCTGCTGGCTTTCTCCTGCGCCCTTCTCTATGGACATTGAGTTATGTTGTGGCAACTCGTGTGTGTGTGCCCCAAGGAAATGCAACTTCAGCACCAACAACACCAGCAGCAGCAACAGCAGCAACAGCAGCAGCAGTCAAGGAAACGTCCTTCGCTCCCCCCATGCAGTCGGCTGAGCCATTGTGTAATTGCATGCGGCATTCTGATCCCAGCAATAGCTGCGAAATTTACAGGCTTAGAGACAATGACATTTACATGTGACGCATTGAGCAAGGCCCACATGCAGCATGCAAAAGAAGTGTCTAATGGGATGTGCCACTGGCGCCTGGAATGTTCCACTTGGAAATTGGAGGTGGAAATGAAATGCAGCAGCTGGACTCTGGACTGGGAATGAGGAATGGAACTAGCAAATCAGATTTGCCAGTGGCTGATGAATGTGAGGAATTTAAGTAGGATTTGAGAGGGGCAATTGGAAGAGTCCATTGGAGGTAGAAATTACATTTATTAGTTGAAATGGAAAGAGGAACTTGAAGGCGAGGCATGCATAAAAGTTCATTCTTGGGAAGTAGAAAGAAAGTGAAAGTTAAAATTTCAAGGTGGTAAGTGGAAGCTGGAAAAGAATTTGTATCGTAACTGGAAACAGAAAGTGAGATTTGCAAAGAAAGGCTGAAAATGAAACATAGGAAAAGGAAAGCACCAATCGAATGGAGTAGGGGAAAATAGAATCGGAATAGTTAGAAATTTAAATGGGTTGGAGTTAGATCTCATTGAAGTATTTCCCTAACTCGCAGCTACCAATATTGACTTGGCAAGCGAATGAAATGCGGCAACGCTGCTTTCTATTTCAATTGAGTGTGAAGTGCGGCAACAGCGCACAGCTGCTATCAAGTGCAGCAGGAATTTGGGACTCCACTCTCGGAGATTAAACCAAGCCAGTCGCATAATTATCGTAATGATAGTAATAGTCATTATCATCGCCATCATCATTGCTATAATTGTCATCGTTATCAGCAGGCAGCGCGAGCAGCTGCCATAACCAACAGCAGCTGCAGCTGCTGCACTTGCAACTGGAGCTGCAGCAGCTGCAGCAGCTGCGGGCAGACGGCGACTTGATTGTCGCTAAAAGCACAGCCAAATGGCCAAATGGCCAACTGGCCAACTGGGCAAATGGCCAACTAGCCAACTGGTTGACAACTCTCAAGGAAGTGTGAGCATTAAGGATAAGCCACGCCCTCTACCCTCGGCCCCGCAATCAAGTGGCATGATTGCTAAGCAGCATTTTATGCCGTTTATTGCCACAACAAGCCGGATCAGAGGCAAAAGTTTGCTTTGTGCTCCTGGCTCCACTCTCTGCTGCCTCCCTATGCGCTTCTCATTCGCATTCATGACTGCCGCTGCTGCCGCTGCTGCTGCTGCTGCTGCTGCTGCTGCACACAATATGCTAAACACTTTGCCGGCAGCCAATGCAATCATAATTTTAACTACTTTAGTTTTACGCCCTCGCCTTGCCCGCCTCCTGCTCCGCTTCGCTCGCCTCCTCCTTTCCGTGCGTCCCCCTGCCGCCTGCTGCGACAGCTCCTTGCACTTAGTTCTATTATCCCGGCGCTTTGTTTTGGCCTCATTTTGCTCGTTTTTGCTAATTTGGCGCGGCCACACCAAGCGCCGAGCAAGCCAATGGCTAAAATGCTCAGCAAAGGCGGAGAAAAAGAAAAACTTGTTGGAAAAACCCAGCGAAATGAAAATGAAAATGAAAAATATAAATTGGCTTTTGTGGTGTGGTGTGCAAAATTACGGGCAAAGGCCCTTTAAACCTAATACACGGACCGAGCCAAGAGCAAAGTAAAACTACACTAGCTGGGGTGTGCACGACGGGCAGATACCCCACACCCATTTATCTTTATTCGTGGAAAAGTCTACGCACATCTCATAAGCTAAATGTGCTGACAAAGATTTCGAATCTGTCCATATATGTATATTCGAGTAGGTCCACATACCAATTATACAATATGTAGATACTCAACCAAGTCTACAGAAAACTTATCCAATACAATATGTCAACTGAATGCCTGAAAATCGATATATATCGCTAAAGAGGAAATCAGAGATTATATCAATGAAAGAAGCAACTAATACGCCCCTCAATTTAGCAATTTCCCTATATGCAGGGCATCAGAAACAGAGAAAAACTTTGGAAATGGCATCGATAAATACCGTTAAAATCGATTTTAAAGACAGTTTTTTGCCATTTCTGACTGAACAAGTGCAATAGCCGCTGGAATATACAACAGCCGGAAAGAGAGAAACAGAGAGAGAGGGAGAGAGAGAGAGAGAGATAGAGGGCAGAGTAAGGGAGCGTGATGGCTGGCCGTAGCATATTTCAATTCATATCGGAGCTCGCTCGCTCTCCCTCTCTCTCTCACTCTCTTTCCCTCTCTCTCTCTCTCTCTCTCTCTTTGTGGCTTCATTAGCGCCCTTTAAGGGCCAAACTGGAAATGCTCGCCCGGCCATAGCCAGCGGCGACGCAATCAAGGCAAATGGATTTTAATTAATTTTGCCGGAGCTGCACAATTTTTAATTAAGAAACTTGAAACGTCACTCGTTGCATTTAGCATTTAGTATTTAGCTACAGCAGCAGCTGCTGCAGCTGCAGTTCGAGCTGCAACAAAAGTCCGCTCCGAGGTATTTCATCCAAAAATTCTTTGTCCCACATTTGCTCAGTGGGTTCGCTGTGAATGGCACGGCAGTCGGCAGTGCATGACAAATGTTTTCTTTGTTTCCACACATTCCACATGCAACTAGGTGGCTAGGTGGCACTGTCCAGTGTTGGCTAAGCCGATAAAGGCAATGACAAAGCACGGAATTAGAAATTCGTAAAAGCTGCTGAAATTCTAATCATGAAACATTCGACTCCCTCAAAGCAATTGCTGTGGAAAGATAAATAAAAGAATATTTAATGAAAGACAAGAAACGAGAAACGAACTGAAGCAGGTACAGTGAAGCCTGCCTCTAGAAGAATCTGCGTTGATAAACTAGATTAACTAGACTGCATCAGCAGCTGAATAGCCAGCTAATGCACCTCAATCTATTCGCTTAAACGAAGTGCTTTAGCTACGCTTCACTGTACTTGCATTTGCATTGCTTTTGAGCTTGATGTCTTCATAGACTTAAGCCTCTACTCTGCTCTCCTTTCAGTGCTCGACTGCCAGGTGGGCGACTGGGGGGCGTGGAGCGAGTGCGACAAGAGCTGCGGCGCTGGCATGATGACGCGCACCCGCCAAGTCCTCCAAGCAGCCCAAAACGGAGGCAAGCACTGCCCCTCCCTGCTCCAGAAGCGAGCCTGCCAAGGCTATCGCTGTCACGGACATCGGGATAAGAAGATACTGCGAGGTGAGTCCAAATGTATCTGTATCTGTATCTGTATCTGTATCTGTATCTGTATCTGTATCTGTATCTGTATCTGTATCTGTATCTGTATCTGTTCTGTATCTGTATCTGTATCTGTATCTGTATCTGTATCTGTATCTGTATCTGTATCTGTATCTGTATCTGTATCTGTATCTGTATCTGTATCTGTATCTGTATCTGTATCTATATCTATATCTATATCTATATCTGTATCTGTATCTGTATCTGTATGTATTTTAATGAAATGCAAATTTAATAAATAATATCCCGGCCTGACATCGCTTCATTTATCGTGTTTCCCTTGCACCTGTCAGGTGGGCTGTCGTGCAGTCACGATTACAACAATAGCTACGGCAACTGGGTTACCCCTTTATCTCGATCCGGGCGTGCATCTGTGTTGCGGCGCGTTAATTAAAATAGTCGATGGCCAGCCCTCGATTTGCAGGCCCTTTCAATATATTACAATTAAAATCTAACTGATATTTGCAAGGAATATTGATAAATTGAGATATTTAGAATGCAGTAGGAAATGAAATGGGAATTTTCAATTCATTTCAGCTGCCTTTTCAGGCATTGTTTGACTTAATTAATTCCGGTTTTTCACTTCTACATGAATCCACTCATATTCAACAGCCTTTCAGCTCAGAGGGAGCTTTCCCTTTCTCTCTCTCTCTCTCTCTCTCTCGCTTATTTCATATTCCATTTTGCATATTTGCTAAGAATGTTGATATGTTGATCCACTTAGCAAGCACTTGGCTCGTATTGTTAGCGCCCCAGAAAATGCAGCGTAAATATTTTACACCCATTGTAATACCACGTACTTGGCCTTAGGTTGGGTAGTCCAACTGGGCGTTTGAAATTCGTTTGATGAGCTTAACGCTAAGTATATCCCATCTCTTCTGTGCCTCCTTTGTGACTCCAAGCAATCTATCTTTCTATCTCTCTCTTTCAATCCCGCTCTACATTTCTTTATCTTCTTATCCTCATCTCTCTCTCTCTCTCTCTCTCTCTCTCTCTCTCTCTATCTTTATCTGTCTGACCCATCTCTCTTTCTTATCCATTCTCTTCTTCTTCACCCACAGCATATGTCTGTATACTCCTCTTTCTTTTTGTTTTTGATTGAATGACTTACAAATCCTAGTCTCACCTGAGTCAATCTTCACATGCAATGTGCAGGGTATTTCAAAGTCAACCCTTTGGATGGTTGGACGGCTGCATTGACAGAGCTGTGCAATGCAAAAAGCTTTTTCATCTAAACGCCCAAGCAGAATGTGAAGCAAACTAAGTCACTTGACGGGTGGCTGGATGGTTTACACGAATCCACACAGACGCTGATGCACTTCTGCTCCGGCAGAAGAGAGTGTGACAGAGAGAGAGAGAGAGAGAGAGAGAGAGAGAGAGAGAGAGAGATAGAAAGAGAGAGGTGGGAGGCATCTTTGCTGCAGATGCATCTGTCAGCTTTCGCTTGTAGCTGAAAGTTTTTTTTCTCACTCTACTTTGTTCGCTCTTTCTTTGGAATACCCTGTACTCATTGACTAATGGGTAGGCAGGGTATATTAGACTTGGGATAGACTCTAAAGCCGACTTTACTTACTCACACTGCTGCCTTATTTCTGCCTTACGCTAGGAAATCACATGCAAAACTTCTGACTCACTTATGGCTTCAAGGGTATTTCGTAGTCGAGCACTCGGCAATCGTAGACTTCCTTTAGAGTTGGCCACGTAAAAAGCGAGCAGTGTCCTAAGAAGAAGACGCATGTGGATGTAGATGCTGGGCTCCAATCTCTGGCCAGAGAACTAACATTCATCTCTCTCTCTCTCGCTCTCTGTCTCTGGCCTCTGCTTCTTGCCTCTCGCCACTCTCCTCTCCCCTCTAGCTCGTCACCCTACCACGCCCCGTTCGTACCCCAGCCCCTGCCCTTTGGCCTGGCAAAGCAATTTTGTGCAAGTGGCTGACATAAAAGCCATATTATATTTGGCTAAGTGTCGCCGACGGCACACATACACAAACACCCACACACGACCACGCCCCCATTCAGCAGCAGTCGAGCTATAGTGGGTCCTAAGCGACTGCACAATACTCGCTCAAGGTACACAAGCAAGTGAATAGATAGATCCACATAGGTGAACCTTGAGGTATAGAGGGGAAAAATGAGAAGGGAGAGAACTTCCCAGGTATTGTATAGCCTGATACGCCCCCCATGGGCGTAGATTTGAAATATGTGAAATTGATGGTGAAACGAAGTGACGAATGAAGGCAGATAGAGGTAGATAGAAGCGAATAGAGACAGATAGAGATGGATAGAGAGGCATAGACAAGGATGAATACGAATGAAGACAGATGACGACTGATAGAGACGCATAGATGAAGAAAGAGACGGACAAAGATAGATTGAGAAAGATAGCTACGGATACAGGCTACAAATAGAGACGGATAGAGGTTGATAGAGGCGGAAAAAAATGAATAGGGATAGAGATGGCGGGAAAAACAGAAGCAGGTGCAGGGAGATAGAGGAAAAGTGCTCAGCACAGAGACTGGATGGATGGATGGAATGACGGAATGAAGACTCTTCTGCACAAGCGAGAAAACCAATATACTCACTTTGCCATTTTCTTCTTTGCGTGAACGAGTGCAAAAAAGAAAAACAAAGCAGAAGAAGTTGCGGCAAGCATAAAAAAAAGTAGCCAAAAACAAAAAAACTATTAAAAATCGCAGCAGAAGTTTTTTGTTTATGTTTTGGGTCGCCTGTGCTCCATTAACCACGAACGTGCCCCGTCTTTCTACTGCCCCTCTTTCCTCCACTGCTTAGCACTGCTCCTACTCCTCCTTCTCCTGCTTCTGCTTCTGCTTCTGCTGTGTGGCTCTGGAGTTAGTTGTGCTTGCGGTTCTTGTTGACGCTCGTCCGCTCGCTCTTTAAGCGTTTAATTAAAACTTTGATTGCAGCCATTAGAAAAAATTGTTAAGCTCTGTATGCAGAAATGATCCACACACAAACACACCAGACGGCACATGTCACAACCATCAATAGAGCGTGAGAGAGAGAGAAAGAGAGCAAAGAATTTGTAATTAACGGTTGTTTAGTGCTGGATAAAGCAAGTTCCATTAAAACTATCAAATTCAATTAAGCAACAGCTAAGAGCTTGCAAGGCACATGAAAGCTCTTAGTCCAAGAGCTTTAAGTTGATTAATGATTGGTTATTTTCAGAGAAACTTTTAAGCTGAGCTCATCATCTCCATCTCCCTCTCTAGATACGCTAGATCAAATGCAAACGAAATTCTCAAATCTATAGAGAGCGAATCAACAAGTTGCTTCAGCTGAATCACTCTGGATCAGCTCCATGGATGCTTCATTTTGTCTCTTATCATTGAGAACTCAGTTGTGGCAAGCCAACTTGCGTAGCTCTTGGAGCTGAACTGTCTGCAGCTAGTAGCTCTGAGAGCCTTCAGCAGCAAGGTAGGCTACACGCCCTCCTCTCTCTCCGCCCCTTTTCGCACATTGACAGCAGCTGAAGCAATTATTTAAGAGCTAATTGACATTTACAGGCGCACAGAGAGAAGCAGATGCGAATTAAATGCTTTAAAGCTGTTTATAGTATTAAGCAGTGTGAGTGTGTGTGAGCGTGTGTGAGCGTGTGTGTGTGTGCGTATGTGTGATTTGTTTATCTTGCAAATTGCTGTCAGACACAGTGGAGCTTTTGCTTTGGCTTTGCACTTTAGTCGGGCAATTACAGAGCATTAAAATGTCGATTAGAGCTGGACAGGGCAGGGGAGAGGCAAGGGGACAGAGAAAGAGAGTGAGAGAGAGACGGCAGGGGTGGTATCAAAGCGCAACTTAAATCTAAATCAAAACCGCTTGCAAAGTGAGGATGTAAAGATGCAGTTGAGTGTTCCTGACTAGAAAATACCCTAAGCATCGAGTAGTATAGAAAGAGAGAGAGAGAGAGAGAGAGAGAGAATAACAGACGGACTAACTTGACTCTTTTTGTAGATAGTAATATTGATATGCTACATAATTACACTTTAGCCCATCAACAATCAGCCCATGCAACTACTATAGGGTATACACAAAGACGAACAGCGCAAGAAATGAAGCAAAGCAAAGCAAAGGCAAGCGGGAGAGGAAATGGAAGCTGCACGCAGAGCGCTCGACTGCTCAACTGTTGCAGATACTGTTGCAGCAACACCTGACAGCAACAGCAGCAGCAACAGCAACAGCAACAGCAGCAGCAGCAGTAGAAAGAGCAACAGCGACTGCGACATCAAACAACTGGCATTAAATACGTGCAATTTGTGTTAGATAATTGGGTAGGGCGCAAATTAAATTTGCTCGAGACGCGAACCAAGCAGCCGCATGAGAAGCGCAGAGAGAGGCGTGCGCGCGCGCTCGTTCGCGTCATTAAGTATGCTATTAAAAATTTGTGTAATGCCAAGTTAATTGCTAACAACCAGGGGTGTCTCTCGCTCTCGCCGTCTCTGTCTACCTCTATATCTGGCTCACTCTTTTTTTGGCATGTGTGTAATAATTAAGGTAAACAAACACGCCCCTTCGCCCACCCACAATCACACACGCACACACACACGCACACTCACACTCACACCTACGGCCCGCCATGTACAATGCCCAGCGCCATTTGCAGGTGGAAAAATGTTGTGAATTCAGCTAACTGCACTGAGCGAAAACATCGAGTTAGTCTCATTTTTACCCAAACTTGGACAACTTTGGCAAATCTTTATCTTTGCTCGATCTACGCGAGTATTACGACGTTTGACTACAACATTTTCTTACTGGACAAATGCTCCAATCAATCAGAATTATTTCTTAGCGTGAACTTTCAATCTCTGAGTCCATCCAACGTCAATCGTCACCAATCAATCATCACACTACCAATCACTCCCAAAGTAGACATTTATAATGAGCATTCAATCAGTCAGTGCAGGTAATCAACCAATCGTCAATCAAGTGGAGTCGCTACATCGTTCAATCACTTAACCATCAGTCTATCAGTCAGTCGACCAGGCAGTCAATCTGTTTTGATGCATTGGCTAAACTTATTCAAATTAATCAATCACTCGTCAGTCAGTCATTCAATCAATCAATCAATCAAGCACTCAGTCCTTATATGTTACTCAGGCAATCCAGTCAGTCATTAAATAATCAATCAAGCCAGCAAGCAGCTCCCCATATTCAACTGCTTCACTTTCGCCCTAAGTACGTAAGCATTATTTTCTCACAGTGCAGCTAATATGTGTGCGCTCACTTTTGTCGCCGACTGTCGTCGCTGCCATCGTCGGCCTTCTTCAGGGTTTCTCGTTGTCGCCGCCATTGGCAGGCCACAATAATGCGCAGTGCTCATTAACGTTATAAAAATAATTGCTGTACACTTGCAGACATCCATTCGCTTACACACACACACACGCACACCTACACACACACACACACACACACGCCTGCACATACATACGTTGAATACTCATTCACTTAGGGCTGTGAATTACGGGCCATGTGCTAAATTCCAATTAACTTGCATGTATGTGTGTGTACTCGGATGTGTGCGTGTGTGCTTGTGCAAGTGTGTGTGTTGTGCTTGGCCAAGTAGGTAATCGTCCAAGATGAAAAACGTAGCCGAAAACCAGCCAAACCGAGGCACAACAATATGCCATTTGATTATGCAAATGTATGCGTGCGAGTGTGCGTGCGCGTGTATGTGTGTGTGTGTGTGTGTGTGCTTATGTGTGGCACTTGACTTGTTCAATTTGCATAAGTTGTGTGTGCTCCTGCTGACGACCAAAAATTATGCAATACATATGTGCAAGCTAGCACACCCGCTCTCTCTCTCTCTCTCTCTCTCTCTTTCTCCCACTCTATCTCCCTCTTACATTCGCACATTAACTGATAAAGCACAGTTTAAGCTTGGACCATCAGCCGTTTGTCGACTTGACATTCCATTTGCTGTGGCACGTGCAAGTCCTTTAAATTTGCCTTCATCTAGCTCTACTCTAGACTCATGCTGTCTCCCTCTCTCACACGCGCCCTGCAGCAACGCAGGGGTCAAAGTCTGTTAATGACCTTGACTTTATTGCAACATAATGTTTAGCTGTCTTTGCAGTTGGGCTCACACTGTCTCTCCCTTCTCTCTCTTTCTCTTTCTCTTTCTCTCTCTCCTCTCTCTCTCTCTTTTCTCTCTCTGTCTCGATCGTGCTATCTCTCTTCTTCTCGTCTCTTTATCGTTTTCATGCTATAAATCTTACTCTCTCGTTTCTTTTGTCTCGTCACCCCCTTTCTCATTATTCCAATCTCCTCCTACCATTTCTCACTCAAGTTACCCATTTGAAATCTTTACAGGGTATAGACTTATAGTCAGAACTCCACATCTGATACCGTAGCGCGCCTTGACTGCGTTTCAGATCTGTCAAAGAGATTCCTAAGACCTGGTGCCAAGTCAAAGAGTGCTCCCATCGATGTTTACTTTCCCTGCTCCTAATAAGCTCTCTCTCCTTGCTCCTCGCCCGCCCCTAAGCAGGGGGCGTGGCACGAAGCTACAACTGACTCAAAGCCAGGCGGCTGGACCCTGTCAATTCAGGTCTGTCCATGCGAGGAGTCAATGCATGCAGACCAGGCCAAGGCTGATGATGCTGCTCACTGCTATTCCCCCTCCCCCCTCCCCCCTCGCTCTTCTGCTTTGGCAGACACCTTTTCACGAGTCACGTGGCTGTGCGTGGCTGTGGCACGTGCTGCAAGTAAAGCAATGTCCCCGTCTACATTTCGCAGGTGAATGTCTCCCGCTGCTCCGACCCGCTACCTCCCCCTCCCCTCCCCCAGGCGGGTGTCAGTGACAGTAGTATGTGGCTCGTGGCGGTCTGTCAATGCGAGCTCTGCTAGTCAAAAGTCGGAATTGGGGAAGAGGGCGTCGCATATTGAGTCGCAATGGGGGGCCCCACGTTGAGCATTGGAATTGGGAAAGGGACGAAGGGAGAAGGGCGAAGGGAAATGGCAAAGGTTGTTTTGTTGTTTGCAATTGCTAGCACGCTTGTGTTGTCCTTGTCAGCTGTGGCTGCCACACCTCCTTAGCTGTTTCCCCGCTCCTCTTTCCTTCCTTTCTCCTTCTCTTTCCCTTTTCCTTTTTCCTTTGCTGTTTTCTTTTTTCGGTTGCTCGTCTAATGGCATGTTTTGATTTCGCTCTCAGCAATGCAAACATCATGCGAAGCCAGTCAAAGCAAATGCGATTCGTGTGGCATAACCGCCAGGCATACAGGCACGCACTTCCGCAGACACACACACACACACAAAGACACATAGCAGAGCACACACACACACTCGTATACACTCGCTGCTGGTACAACCAGCTCTTCCGGTTGCAGCCACGCCTCGAGCCGCGCCCGCCTTCGCGTCTACAATTTGATTTCACGTTCTGAGCTCTACTTCATATTTTCATTTTCTTTATTTTCTATGACTCTATTTACCTCTAAGTCTTAACTACTCTACTGAGTGGGCTAGTATAACGGTTTATACTTCCTCTTCATCAATAATGATTAACCAAGAACTAATTCTAAGCCAATGCATATTATTCCGTACTGACTTGTGCTTGATATTACTGACTGTTCTAGCTAACTGTTCATAACTAACTGTCTTCCTCTTCTCTCTTCCAGAAATGGCTCTTCTCCTGCCCGCCGCACTCACGCGCAATCATCGCACCAACGAGAGCAGCGACAGCCGCCACAATCTGCACTCGCGCTATCGCGACTCCTACAAACACAATCGGGATCATGAGTGAGTATCGCAGAGAAGAGAAGCTATCTATGGGAATAGGCTATATATAGGAGTAGACTATACTGATACTTAAGAGAGGTACAGTCCGAAACACATTGAAGCTCGCCTTATAGACGGAGCTAGAAGAGGACAGTAAGGGCCACTATTCATATCTTGGTGCCTTCACGTATCGGATCATATCTTTCATATCTTTATATCTTTACTAAACTAGAAGATAGAAGTAGAGGCCACTATTCATATCTTGATATCAGCATATCTGGGTGCCTTCACACATCATATCATATCTTCATATCCTTAAATCTTCCTACATCCTTTTGTCAGCAGGAACTTGAGGAGAGCAGTATTCATAACATATTCATATACACATCTATATTTGTATATAGATATTTTTACCTGAATGCACATCTGTATCCGTAGCTGCATCTGTGTCTGTACTGAAGCCTGCCTAGCTTTTCTCTGCCACAACTCTCAAGATCTCTCAGTCGCCGTGGAGATAAATTGCTGCACCTTAAAAATTCAATTCAGGTATCGAGCGTGAAATGATTTTCCGCGACTTGGAGCCTTCTTTCACGCTTGACTTTGTTTAATTTGGAATCGCGATTCTAGGCGAAAGGTGTGTGCCGAATCGTTTTCCAAAGCCGCTTTTATGGCATTAGGTTAACGGGAGAAAAGCTGCGGAGAAAAAATGAGAAATTTCAGTATTAATCCCAAATTTGTTGCTAGCTGTTCGGCTCCTTTATGACTCGCGCGGCATGCAAACAACAATTTCATCTTGTAATGGGTGGAGGGCGGGTGAGAGAGAAAGGGGGCGCATCAGCATAAGCGTCTGCAATAAAAATCCATCATAAAAGGCGCATAAAAATTGTTCGGTATAAAAATCTCCGCCTTGATTTGACGCGCTGTTAATTTTCGTCCTCACGAGCATTTGCCTTGCTTTGTTTTCCTCCTCCTTCTCCTGCTTCTCCGCCGCCACCATCTGTTACCTCGTTGCCTTCTTCCTCTTCATTCTATTTGCTTGTTCGAGTTGGAAATGGAAATGTTTATGATTCATGCCATTCAGCCACACAGACAGGTTGGCCAGCAGTCCTTGACGCCGGCCCTGCCTTTGATGGCTTCCTCAATTGTCCACTAGACGAGCTGCAGACCTCGATGCAAGCGTGACTCAGAGATACCCTATAATGTAGATCAGCCACACTGGGTAAAGCCCAATGCAGCTTTCTCTCTGTTCCACTCATTGGCTACAGCTTAAAGATACCCTGTAATCTGCTGCTACTACTTAATAAGCTTACCTCGCTTTCAACTCTAAAACTTTTGTTAGGTGTTTGCAAAACAGTTAGGTAAAAAGCTCAAGTTTAAGCTGAAGAGATTCACATCTCAAAGATACCCTGTAAAGTCACATCTCAAAGATACCCTGTAAATTAGTCAAACGCCATCTCTCTTACACATTCTATCCAACTACGCATTCCAGATGCTCCAGGAGTATGTGTATGCTTAGTATGAAGGTATGCACGACTCAAAGATACCCTCTATTGGATCAATCTATATCTTGATGTTTTCCATATCCATATCCACTTACATCATTCCATACATACTTATTAGAGAGAAAGATACCCTATACATTGGTATGGCACGCAAGTCAATGAGTTCGCCTCACCATTCACTATGAACTCTGGTTTGTATCTCTCTCCCTCTCTATTCTCTCCTGTCTCCTGTTCAATGCTGCATGTGATAAGGCCAGGGGGGCGTGGCTTGCCCACTGCCCACTTCAAATAAGCAAACAGACATCAATCACGTTCCGCATACGCCACGTTGTCCGTTCAATGTTCAGATGGGCGCCTTCAGCCGTTCTACTCCTGCTCCTGCTCCTGCTCCTGCTCCTGCTCCTGCTCCTGCTCCTGCTGCTGCTGCTTCTGCTGCCTGTTGCGGTCTGCGATTTTGTGCTGCGCTCTTATCGTCCGCCTCTCTTATGTTTGAGTGCTTCTCGCTGCTCATCAAAAGCGGTTTATTATGCTGCGCTTTACTTTTGTTTGCGAAATTAAATTAAATCCGCAATTTATTATTTTTATGTCTTTTCCATTTGCTTTCAATTCGAATCTATTTCCGCAGAAAGCAGCAGCGCAAGAGCAGCTCATGAAACGTGCCAAATGGAGCAGCACTTGGGCAGTCCAGATGTGCGGCTAAACATGTCGATAACTAGGCTATTCGCTATCGATAGATATCGTTATCGATTAGACTTTCACATGCATCCACATCAATGAGAAGGTTTTGCTGTTCCCACCTAGTCTCGATTCGAACTCACATTCCAATTCGAATTACATATTCGATCAATCAATTTCCACGGCTCAAATGATTCAATTTGGCTCGATAATTGATTCGTTTCGTTTTTTTTTTTTTTTTTTTTGGCTCGAGTGGCGAAAGCTTTCACATGAGCATGATGAATGAGTGAATGGAATTCATGAATATTTATTGCACGCCACGATAAAAATCGGAATGGAAATCGAAATCGAAATCGTATTCATTCACGCGCGCACACACAAATCAATTCAAAGTGAGTCAAAAGCTACTTCTCTCTCTCTCTATCTCTTGCTCCCTCTCTCTTCCTCTCTCTCTCTTTGGTGAGTCGCCCAATTCACTTGTCCAATGATTTGTTAACTAGCGACAAACTTTTATTGCCTCGCTGCTGATAGAAGGAGCTGCTGTTGCTCCACAAAAGGACTACGGACCGAGGACAAAGGACAAAGGACGAACGGCACAAATTATGAATTATGCGCTCAAATGCTGAGCAGCAACAACAGCAACAGCAATGGAACTTGGACAAAGAAAATAAATAAATAAATTACGCAAATAACAAAACAGAAAAACAAAATAAAAACCGAAGAAGAAGACGAAGCGAAAAGAAACGAGAAGGAGCCAAAAATAACAAGCTGAAAGTTTCTCGCGCAGGCAAAAGCCGAAGAGCAAATGCTCTAAGCGAGATGTTCTCCCAAGCAAAGCAGCTCTACAAGGGGAATAGAGAAGGAGGAGAGAAGCTTCAGACATAACTCACTCATTGACTGTGAGACTGAAGTGCAAGAAAATCTGGCAAAAAAAAAAAAAAAGGAATGAGAAGTCTTTCTTTAGTTTCTTTTAAGATAAACGAGAAATCAGTGGAGTGCAATCAGAGTAGTATATATAGGGTGAAGGTATATACAGGTTGGTCATACTCCCAGTACTCAGTTCCAATCACTCCAATGGAAGCAAGAAAACTTCAATTGTCTCTCACATCGTGTCACATACTCACTCACGATTGCAGCAGACCCTCTCGCTGTTGCTCGCTCTGCGTAGGGTATACAAATAATAATTCGCCACAATTTCATTTACATAATGACAGTGCGAAGCGATTGCCGCAGAAAGAAATTACAAAGGAACGAAACGGTAATACACACGCACCCAGTGCTGCGGGCCGCACGGTATATGAACCTTTAGGGCCACGCCCCCTCCCCACCCATTGGGTGAACACCCCCGCGACGAATTCACACTTTGTCTTCTGTTTTTTGTAATGTGATAAATTTACAGGACATCAGGGAAATCTGCAGTCGACAGGCCTTTTAAAATATATAATAGAAACAGACAGGGTCCGCCCGGGCACCGTCCCCTTCTCGGGTGGCCCATCGCCGTTCCAGACCAGTTCCAATTACCATTACAGCCCGAGTTACCGTTACAGCCACAGTCGGAGCTACGAAGGCCCAGAAGGAGGCAGGACTAGCAGGGCAACGACTTCAGATCTACTTTAAAATAAATAAAAGATGTCTGCAGTTTCCAGATCCAGCTAAAGCTGCAGTTTCCATTCTCGTTGTCGTTAAGGTCACAGTACTAGTTCCAGCTCAAGCTCCAGTTCCTGTTCCAGCTCTGACTCCCAATTCAATTTCAGTTTCAGTTAGTGCCTAGGACTAAAACTGAAATTTGATTTGGAGTCAGAGCTGAAACAGGAACTGGAACTGGAACAGGCACTGGCACTGGAACTATTGCTGGTGAATCGTCCTCTTATAGGCATAATCACAGAACCAGTTCGTAGTCCATTTTCATTTCCATTTCTAGTTGTCCCTTAGTACTCAGTGTACTTATACTGATATTATAATGCTTACTTCTTATACGCATATACGTAGCTCCAATTTACGACTGCAGCTCTCGTTCCAGTTCCCATTTTAGTTCCACTTTCTATTCCAGATCATCTTAAACTCACAGCACCAGCTCCAGTGCTAGCTCCAGTTGTGGTTTCTATCATAGTTACTGTTGCAGTGTCAGCCGCTGCTCAGGTTCCCTGTCAGTTCCAGTTCCGTCTCAGTGCCTATACCGCTCCACCCAGCTCCATTAAATACTCTCTGCAGCTTCACCTGGTTTTGAGTGCGCGGCAACAATAAAACGCTTTAAGCGAAAAATCCCCATGAGGATTAGCCTGAACCGCATAAATTTGCAGGCGCACAGCGAATGACTGAGAGAATAGGAGGAATGAGCGAGAGAATAGGAGAGATTCTGGTAGAGGGGGCAGTGGAGGGAGACAGGTTGATTGCCAGTCTTTAAGTCAGCTGAAAATTGAAGACAATGATGCTGCGAATTGACAGATTTTATGATACACACACACACACACACATACATACACTGCATGTACATATATATGTACAAATACAGATATTTGCATATTTGTATAGGCTAATTTGCATAGCAGGTGCGTCCACGCCCCCAACAGTTGAATAAAAGCCATAAAAATGCGTAAAAGCTGCTACTTTATTTTCATTAAACAAACGCAGCTGCCCACGTTTTATGCCCAGTTGATCTGTGTGTGGGTGAGTGTGTCTCTCTGTGTATGTGTGTGTGAGTGGGTGGGTGGCCTGTGTCTGTGTCTGTGCCTGTGCCTGTGCTTTTGCATACTTTTCAAGGGGCCACTCCAAAGTCTGCCTTTCAAATTGAATTATGCACTTAATGCGAAGGACAAGGCACAGCACACAGAGATAAAGTGAGTGAGGGGGGAGAGAGAGAGAGGGAGGATACTTATGCTGTGCTAGAGTTAGAGTAAACGCAACTTAATGCGTTTTAGAGGCCACACGAAATGGATAAGCATCAACTTTCTAATTACTTTCTAATGCAGTCGACTAAATTAAATTTATGAGAATACAAAGGATGTAGCTGTGTATATGGAATATAATCAGATATTGTGCACAATGCAAATGTATGTGTGTAAGCCGTGTGTACGAATAGCAAAGTCAAGAAATTGAGCTGCTTTAAAATAAAACAAGTGAGAAGGCTCCGGTCGAGACTGCTCGACTAGGAGACACCCTGAACCATCCAAGCTTATATTCCACTCATTCTGCGCCTCTTTTATGCACACATGCACACACACACACACGCATCCACACGCACGTATAATCACTCGCTCTGCTGACTGCGCAGTTAGCAGCGACAGCGCTTGGGAAAATTATTAGAATTTATCAGTTGAATAATTTCTCTGACGCACTCATACGAACGGACAGACTCAGCTCGTCGCCCTGATCAAGAATATATATACTTTATGGGGTCTGCGATGATTCCTTCTGCCTGTTACATACATTTCAACAAAACCATTATACCCTGATTTCCCATTTGCAATGGGTTTAGGGTATAAAAAAAGCCGAAACAAGTTCGATTCAATTCGATTGCGTATTCAAAAGGCATTCCACAGTGAGTAAAACTAATTATCCTCCGGTCGCATTCTCGAAAGGGTTCTAAAGGTTCAGTTCAGTTCAAGCTCAGTTAGTAAGGTATGAGACTCGCACTCTCAACACACTCAGAGAGCTGCGTAGGTCCGAGGCCCTGGTGACGTCACTTGTCTCTAGTCCTCAGCAGCAGCCGCAGCAGAAGAAGTCGCACTTCGTACTCTATACATGCTTTATGGCTCAATTTGAAGCTACAGCCTATGCTGAGCCTGGGCTAATAAATTCAAGCCTGACTGCTTCTCTTTCTTCTGCACTCGAATCGCTCTGCTCTTGCTAGTCTAAATGCTAAGCAAAATATTTACTCTCTGCATGTCTACATCTCTCTCTCTCTCTCTCTCTCTCTCTCTCTCTCTCTCTCTATCTCTCTCTCTCTCTCATTCACTTTGCTATATCTGAGCTATGGCACATTCTTTATAGGCAGCAATTCAAAGAAATTGCCATTCATACGCCCCGTTGCAGCCCCATCCCGCGCTCCATTTGCAGCTCTAATTTTAGCTGCCAGCCCGAGCTGCCGGCTACACATTGTCAATATCAATTATCGTGCATATATACATATACATATAAATAAATATGTTTGTATGCATGCATATTTTATGTGCCAAGCCAAGCGAAAGGACATTGAACTGACTGGCCAGGGTGAGGGGGCGAGAGCGAGAGGGAGAGGGCAAGTCGACTGAGGGCAGCTGCAGGCCGAGCCGTTTGCAGTGCTCAGTCGCTTGAAAGTGTGCAACAAGATTTGCGCGCGCTGCTCAATCATCATTAAAAACTTCCCAGCGACGACAAAGCACAAGAAGAAGAAGAAGAAGAAGAAGAAGACGATGACGCTGAAGCACAAGAAGAAGCAAGAGCAGCCAGGCGGGCAAAGGACACACAGGAAGGCAGCTAAGCGAAAGCAAAGTCCAGCTAAGTCTTTGCCTCCGCCTGCGCCTCCATCTGCATGTGGCCATTCAGGCGGCTCACTCAAGCGCCGCAGAGTGTTTCCTTTGCCAGGACACGAGTCCAGCGCCAAGTCCCCGGCCAGGACTCGGCCAGGACTCGAGGGTCCAGTTGAGTCCCAGGGCTACGCTGCACATTGCTGTTGCCTGTTGCCTGTTGCGCCGCCATTGACTAAAATCCAAATTGAGATGTCGCCGCGTCGTTTTTCGTTTCCGGTTTTTGTGTGCGGCTGCAGGAAACACAGCAGATAGAGAGAGAGAGAGAGAGAGAGAGAGAGAGAGAGAGAGAGAGAGAGAGAGAGAAGAGGTCAACAGAAGTGGGAAACACCGCAAGCTGTGAGCCAACTTAGTCAAGCAATTATTTTTAGCAGCTGGAGTAGAGCCAGGCCCAGAGCGGGCGAGCAAATGGGGTATATTAGTTTGCAGTGAGCAGCAGAAGAGATGAGAGCATAGGCTAAGGTATCTGACAGTCGTTCATGCCCGCCCCGCGCTAGCGAAATTGTTTTTTATTTTATTTGTTTGTGCTCGGCTTTCACATAAACGAGTGCAAATACTTTTTTAAGTGCCTGTGCACACTCACTGTTGTTGCTCGCCTGGCATTGACAGTTGTCGCCGAGTCCTTTGAAGTGGCAAAATATTTGACAAGAAAATGACTTTTCCCCAGCGCATGGCGCGAAACGGGGGCGATTCGTGCCGCCGATTCGTGCAGCCGCAGCCAATTGCCAGAGTGTCGACATTTGCCTTGGCTAAACACACACACACACACACACACACACAGACACAGGAGTCGCTGCCTCACACTCACACATTCACCCTTCGATTTGGCACTTTCTCAACTTGTTGCTCGACTTACTTTGAATAACTCTGATTTGAGGCATAACCATGTCTGGCAATTGCTCAAGTGATATAGGGCTGCCAGATGGGTTCGTCGCATATGAACAACGCTACATACCCTGTATATGTGGAGCTGTCATATGAAAGATATAAAGATACAGCTAAATTGTCAAGCGATTCGCTTAAGACAGTTTGCAAGTGAAACCTGAAGTAAGTAACCTTGTTTATAAGGCAAGACTTACCTGTAAGAGTTTGCTCCCCTCTCCTGCTCCACATGCTCTGCACCAGTCAAACCTCTGGCCTATGCAAATCGTTCTCTCTCTCTCTCTCACTCTCTCTTTCGCCTGCCCTTTCGTCACATTATAATTATAGCAACTGTTATTTATGGGCCTCTAATATGACATATATATATACATAAATATACATATACATAATTTATTTTATTTTGTTTTTAATTTCCTTAAGAAATTGCCTAAAAATGTATTCATCAAGTTCAAGTCCGGAAAAGTCTTTTTATGTCTTATTCTCAGCTTCGACCACTCAATGTGCTGCGCGTACCGCCCCGCCCCGTACCGCCCCGTCCCGCCCGCTGTCAGCGTGAGCCCCTTGCCACTTGAGTTTAATTATGTTCTGCTGCTGAAGAGTCCTGTGCCATTGCCTTGTTTATTTTTATTGCTTCTGTGCGGCGACGACGACGACGACGACGACGACGACGGCGACGTCGACGCCGGAGTTTGCTGCCGTCGAGTTTTTATTTACATGCATTTTCTTACGTGCTTTTGTTTTTCCTTTTTCTTCTTTTTGTTTTTTTCAATTTACCTTTATGGCCAGCTGGTTGGGGACCGAGGGCGGGCGGGCGACAGGACGCGCATGACATTGCGTCGCCTAGCTGTGGGCCAAGTTAATTAAGTGCTCAGCTCCAGTAGAGCCGACGTCGGCATGAATTATATTTCTATCAGAGCGGCATTTGCTTTGGGTTTGATTTCAATTGCTTTTCGTTTGTTTTGTGTACCCTGTAGTCATTTGAGCATTGGGTAGATTGGCTACGCGGCTGCATATGCTACAGGCAGCAAGAGCTTAGGGTCCTATACATCCCTAAGGCTGCCCACAGATCTAGAGTAGTTCCTGCTTTGGTTTAGTAACTCACTCTAGGCCACTCATCTATTTTAGCCCATCTCGAGTACCTCGAGAGCTGGAGCTATCAAAGTTGGAATGCAGCTGCTGTTCATGTAAGTGAGGGCCAACATAATTTCCTTTTCCGGCTGCCCGAATTCCTAGCTCAAGTACGATGCGAGCAATACGAATCAACTTTAACAACCTGTAAGGCACTTGCCTTATAGCTCAAGGGCTGCAGATATAATGTGTGAGGTATGCAGCCGCACTTCAACTAAAAATACATTAAATGGCTCCGCCATGTCTCCATGTCTGGCCGCCATGTAGAACCATTCATCAGCAAGCACTCGCCCACCTGTTCAATCGCCATTACATTTACCGCTTCTCTTTTTCTCAATTTTGCGATTCTGATTTCCGTGGCGTCAATTGTGAATTCGGCTGCCTGGCTAATTTGGCGATTTGCTAATTGAGCTCTCGAGGCTAAGTGGACAAATATCCGCCCAGCCGATTTGCCGCCAACCCATGAGAGGAGCAGCAGCAGCGGCATTTGAGGGCACATTTGAATTTCCGACGCAATTTCCGATGTCAACACCTTGACAGCTGTCAAGCACACACACACACACACACATACACACACACACAGACACTCACACATTCATGCACACATACACACATTTAAAGAGACACCCAAAGCCACTTGACAGTTGGCTCTTCCCTGCACTCTCTTTTTATCGCCATCTCTCTCTCCTCTCGTCTCTCCTCTCTGCTCTCTCTGTCACTCTATCCCTATGTTTTTGTGGCGCTGCGTTTTTTGCGTAACGGAAACGGAAATTGTTAGGCTTAATAGACAGTTCGAATTTCCGGTTGAATAGCGACGCCTTTGAACTGTATAACCTATCTCGCACTCACTCCTTGCCTGGTTGGTCTCTCTCTCTCTCTCTCTCTCTCACTCTTTCACTTTTTTCAGCCACGCACAACTGCACAATAATCATTATTGTGTGAGTGCTTTTGTCTGCTCTTGTCTCCCTCTCTCTATCCCACTCTCTCTCTCGCTCTCTCTCTCTTAGCCTCCCTATCGCTACCTTTGCTGATTATTCCCATGTCAAAGTTCATTGTAATGTTAAATACAGCTAATGTCTGTCTGTCAATCGAAAATCAATTGAAAAATTCAAATGGAAAATGTTTGAAATTAAACGTAATCGGGTTTTTGCCTATTAACGGGTACAAAGCCATGAACAGAATATGATTAAATGGCATTTGATAGACATTGTGAAGGATTCCACAAAAAAAGAAAAACTTGATATAAGCTGAACCTGCTCAGAGTCTATCCATATTAATAGTCAATCAATCTTGCAGATACTGCGTGGAGTTCGAGGTCATCAAGGCATCCAAAGCCTGCCACAAGCTGCCGCCCTATAACCTGATGCTGGAGGGTAAGTGATTCACTAGATATGCCTTGTACGCCTTATGGACAATGTGCTGCTGCAGGTGATCGCATAACTGTGCGCTGTGACCTGGAGGCGCTGGTGCAGGACAAAGATGCTGAGGCTGGTGTTGGGAAGGCGGGCAACAGAGGCGCAACAACAACAACAACTACAACGCATAAGACTCTAATGGCACAGCCATATCTAACAGAGGAGGGCGAGGAGAACAGCAGCAGCAGCAACAGCAATGATAATGACGATGATAACGAGGACGAGCAGGAGCAGGAGCAGGAGCAGGAGGAGGATGAGGAGGACACCGAGGAAGATGATGCACAAAATATGCTCGACTCCGAAGCAAATGGCGATGCGGAAGCGGAAACGGAAGCGGAGGCGGCCAGCCGCGAGAGCTATGGCTACAAGCACCAGAGGCCATCATCGCACCATCCACGCGCTGCAACGTCCAAGCGCAGCGCCAATGCTGCGGCGCCCATGTTGCCGCCGGCGCTGCAGCCACAACAGCAACAGTTGCTGCTCAACTATCACTGCCGCGGCGAGGGGCTGTCGGGTCGCACGACGCGTTGGAGCGCGTTGCCGGCGCCGTCATGTCGCGGCAAGTGGCTGCGCCTGACCATCGGCCCACCCAAGAAATGCAACCATGCGCAATTCATATTCGTCTAAGCAGCTGCTGCAGCAGGAGCAGTATTCGCAGCCATCCAATGCAATACTTGGATAAATCTTAACTTTTTTTTTTTTTGATCTGATCGAGGACGTCAATATATATGTGTAGGGTATACGCGTAGTCTATGTAGCGAGTTCATCAATCCCGAAAACCCATCCCAGAGCCCAAACCTATCTCTCCAGTTCCCATTGGGTAACAGCCATACATAAATAACGGCTCACGGCTCTCTCCTTCTCTCCGATCACACCTTCAGTTGGCCAGCGCCTATTGGAGTACACTTCCTCATGAAGTCAGTCCATAGCATTATTTAATCCAAGTCAACAATATTTCATATAAAACTATATACTAAATGTAATTCTTGCAGAGTTGCAAAACTACTTAATGAGCCATTTCAATACAATAACGATAAATGAAAGGGTATCTGTGCTTCGGCAAGCAATCTACCTGCTGACGCTGGAGCAAAGAACAAGCAACAACACATTTGCGCTATCTGTCTCTTTTCCTTAAATGGCGTTTGCCATGACTCGACGACGATCAAAGCGAAGGCAGAGAAAAGAACCGTTATCTTTGCGCACTGTTGCGCATTTGTTGTTCTTGTTTGCTATGACCAATGGCGTTCAGCGTTCAGCGTTCGAGTGCAAAGGCAACTGAAGTAACGGCAGTTTAGAATTTAGCTGCATTGCCCGTATACCCAATGGGACGATTCCTTATAGTGGCTGTACGCCCGACAGAGAATGAGTAATAAAACAAATGCACTGTTTGTCTCGTTTCTTTGTATTCATATCATATCCAAGCATCATATCGCACGGCAGCTGTCCACAGCACTCAGCACCCTGCCCCACCCCGTCCCTCACTCACACGCACACAATGAGAGAAGAACTCGCATATAAGTGTTTAAACTTTAAGACAGTTAATTAAGAATTTACATACAGTGAATGTGTATTTTTTTGAGTCTCCCCATGCCCCGCTCTCCCTATATCTTTCTCTCTTTCAATAGATCATGCATAATCGATAGCTGAACAATTAATATATAGAAAGCGAAAAAAACGAGATTTTCGGAATGCCGAATTTAAATACCCTTGCAGTAAACTACTCTAACGAGTTAATAGCGCAGTTTTAGTTCCACTACAATTATCCGATTGGAATCACAGTTATGTCCCTAACCAAAAAGGAAACGCCTGCAAGGGTGAGAGTACAGTAGAAACCCGCTGTAGATGCAACGTTCATCCCGGCGAGTTCCTACTGTAGCCCAAGTTGTAAATAGATCATTTACTCAGACTCTGGTGTCTGGGAAAGCTCAGCGGCAAATGAATAACAACTGATCGATAAGTCTTAGCCCAGAACGAGAGATATAACTAACTAATAATACGATATATACCATTAAATATAATTATATTAGCAACCAAGTCCCATGATCTACCGATACATATGTAGCTGTATCTATGAAGGGCAAACTGCGCAATTCGAATCCAAACTTCGATTGATCAAAGGAGGAAACCAAATTCCACAAGGATTTGAGTCACGCTGTCCACTATGCTATGCTAAATGCATTATGAATTATATTTGAAGAAAAATAAATAAAATCTTGACAGCGCAATTAGAGCTTGTCCAAACTCAATGTTTTCTCTAAATCCCCAAACTCCACTTCCAGCTAGACGTAAGCGCTAAAACATCTCAATAATACGAATTACATGCAGCTATAAAAGTGAAATAGTGTAGTGTATGTGACCAGTCGGACTAGACATACATATATACAAAAACAAATATATATGTATTACATAATGAAACTTCAACCCTCATCGATGTACGAGTTTATCATGCCTAACCATTAACCTACAACACCTACACTTACACTAGCCTACAAAGCTGAGAATATCAATTTGAAGTGCTGCAAACATCTATTGGACTTGACATAACTGCATAGCTGTATATGTTGCTATATAGGCTCAAATTCAGAGTCATATTCAAGCTCTAGTCAAACACTTAGTCACAGAATTTTCCTTAATAGTAAACGTGAGATAAAGTTATCAATATTCCCTTCGGAGCAATTCTAAGTTCAGGTGTTTGCAGCGGTCTCAAATATATTCTATTGGCACACTAACACACACACACACCAACACACACATAGAGAGATATATATCAAAAAGAACAAACCCCATTAAAAAATTAAGAGAATTTGAAAAAAAGAATATAATAA